AAAACAACAAACACAAAATTTAGAAAAATGACTTCAGATTTACTTGATCTGAAGAAGAATGTCATACTTTTTGTGAGATCCAAACTTGAATAGGATGTATTACCAAGACACAATGCTTCCCGAGGATAGTAATGGCTGTTTGAGAGAGAACGTGAGTAGTTTGAACTGAAAAAGATTGGAAAGAGGTTCTTTTGTGATGATAACAAGTTGGAGGGTTGATGGTTTGCTGGCCACCTTGTGAGTTAGCCTTATCTGTTGAAAACCAGGTGGTAAGACAGATTTTCTTGGCTTACTGGGGTACAAATTAGGACTGCTTGGTAATGGTTGGTCTACTTACTGGTTCGAGGTCACATCAGTAAATATTGGTTTGTACAAACTGGTACACCCAAAATTTTAATCCTGCTTTAAACTGAGTTATCATTATTTTTGTTGTATTTATTATCTTTTCCATGCTTATGATCGAGGAATGCAATCTTTGGTATCGGACTGTAATGGTCAAGGCCCTGAGCCGGATACTATATATACCGTGTGGCTTTGCTGGTATGTACCTAGTTTTGGAAAAAAAAACTTAAGAAAAGACTGCGAAATAAAAAAGTTACTGCCTGGTACATATTCTACATCGGCAGACCACCCAGGTTGCCCTCTTCTGCATTAGCGGCATCCCTTTGCTGCTATTTTATCAATTCATAAAATCTATATCAGAGTTAGTTCTTTTTGTCAAATTGTAGAATACTATGCTAGCTTGTCAGATTACTATAAATCTTTTAAAAGTATATATTCTTTTTGTTCAGCGGTAGTAAAATTTTTGTTTTACTAAGTAAAAGCAGCAATGATTCCCTGTCGTGTGTTAATGTTAGAATCTCTCCTACACTAGTAAAAGTCTGAGTCATTTCTTCATGAAAGATGGTAAACATATCTTTTCTTTATTGGCTTAATATATATACAGGTGAAAGTGCTCCATTATCAGAACTTGCAGATTTCATAGTAACCGCTCAAACAGCAGGTTCCTCAGGAGTAAATAGTATGAAAGGATCAGAAAGTAACCTTGGAAAAGATGAGGTTTTTCTAACCTTCTTTTCTCATTATTGGAATGCTTGCGACTAATTGTACTTTTGCCATTCTAGCTTTCCTATCGTGAAATATACAATAGGAATTGATTAATGCCATTTGTGATATTCCTGTTTCAGATTTACCTCCTCTTATATGTGCACATTGGTTCATTCTAATCTTATGCAGTTTAACATGACAGTCCACTTGTGCAACAAATTTATCCTATTTCTAGATTTAGGCGGTCCATATCAGAAGCAGGTGAATGAACAATGGAACTGTTGACACTTATGTATATAATGTTAGCAACCACCAAATTCAAGCTTGAAAATGCAGGTAAGTTGTTAGTAACTATCTAGGTTAGCAAAATATAATCTTAATCACCATTGTGAAGATCGAAATAGCCAACTAAAAGTCAAGGGGAAATATAGAAATAATAGAATAGGGAGAAACAAGGATATAGGACAAGGCTCATATCCTTCTGAGGCACCACTTGTGTCCCACTTCAAAGAGATGGCTTTATTGATGGGAGACAAAATTTTCTCATTTTTTATAGGTAAATTAAAAGGATTTTGATAGTGCTAATGTCAATCGAGATACAGATTTCAATTTGCATCACAATATAGTTAGTTTGGAGGTACCATTAAGTAATTTTCATGAGAGGGAAGTAGGCATTAAAATTGTAACAAATTGGGGATTAAAGCAGCATCAATATATCCTGTTAGAGATATATGACAATATAGAATAGCTCGGAGTGTCCCATTCAGCAATTACTATGTGTGAGAGATGATATAATCTTGACGATACTCAACCAGAGTCTCGAACAAGCTCCAAAGCTCACCCTACCTGGCCAAACTCAAGGCAAGTCATCACTAAAGCTTCAAAACCCAATTCGGCCAGCCCAAGTTAACTCCTACTCGGTGCCACATCAGCCCAAATCTCAATCCGAGTGGGACTCGGATTAGGGCAGCATGCGACCAATTGATAAGGTACAATTAAGGGATTTAGCCCTAGCAAGTCTTAAAGGCATTCGGACTCTCTTAAGTCCCAAAAGGAGTAGGACTCTTGGGTGGCCCTCTACCTATAAAACCAAGGGGATGCAGCACTGCTGAACAATCCCAAAAAACACAGCAGCCATTCGGCCCTAGTTAGCAGCTTTTGGCTGAGATAGAGGAGAGGAGTGAGGAGTACGACAGCCATCAAAGTTCCGGTCGATCTCCAAAGGCAGCAGCCCTTCTTCCTTATATCCAGCCTCCAACTGGCCTAGGGTTGAGACTCTAGTCGAGAGCAACTGAAGAAGAGAAGAGGAAGAAGCCTTTGGCAGTTTGCAACCAAAGGAGTTTGCAGTAGCAACTCCATCAACTTAAAGCCTAAGAAGCACTGACACGGCACGACATGGGCACAGTGACACACTATTTTTCAAAAAATTAGGACACATGTATTTTTAATATATATATATATATATATATATGTATATATATATATACATATGTACATATATATATATACATATGTACATATACATATATACATATATATATACATATATACATATATATATACATATATACATATATATATATACATATATACATACATATATACATATATACATACATATATATATACATACATATATATATATATATATAATATTTGATTAACATGAGGGTTATGGTATTTATACTTAAATTTTATAAACTCCCAAGTTTAAATTAAAATCATCTAAATGATTTTATAGTATTTATACAAGTTTAAATAATTAAAATCATCTAAATGCAAGCATTCAAAATAAAGTTACTAGACACATTTTTTACGTCATTGTCACCTCTGTCCTGTGATTCATCCACAACATCAATAAACACAATTTTTCCATCTTTGGTTCATTCGAGGATAAATTATAACTTCAAGTACTTTAGCATCTTCAAATGAATCTAATTTATCTCTTGCAATATCCCACATCTTAGTCTCACCCTCAAAGTATTCTAGAGTTGTCCTATAAAGAATATGGAAATTACTATGAATGAATATCAAATCTTCTGGATGTTGAGTCATTTTGTTCTTTTTAAGTGAGCGCACTTTTTGTTAATAACCATAGATTGAAGTACATCTTTGATAAGTTTAAACATTCTAAGCATAACAATAGTTGAAGCAAAATGTGTTAGCTACATAGAGGAACTTCAATGACACAAACTCATTAAATATGATAACTCTCATCGAATGATTCATAATGAAACTTTTGATCATCACAACATCATGTGCAATATTAGGTATCCAAATGCGTGCATCATATGTTTAACTTATTTTGTTCAATATTCTTTGTTCCACAAATATCTTTTAGCACTATATTAAGAGTATGAATCATATATGGGGGCCATATGCCATGTCCAACAAAATAAAAAATAAAAAATAAAAAAAACATAGTTGGACACATGTCCAGCCTTGTCAATGACGTATTCGTCTTTGACACATGTCCAGCCTTTGCATAAGAAGCATCCGTCAGGTTTTGAGGTCTTGCTTTTTGAGCTTGGCCCTTTGTAGGAGCTCTTTTTCCTTTGTTCGTCCCGGACTCCTTCCCTTGAGAATATTTCGATGGGCGATTTGCTAAAGATTATTTCTTTTTCCTCGAGTCCTCTAAGGAAACAAAGTTAGTGAGCCTTTCCGCGGTCGCAATTGCCTTGATCATATCGGTGACATTCCTTCGATGTAGTTCCTATTGTGCCCATGGCTTCAGGCCGTCGAGGAAGCTGAACAGCTTATCCTTTTTGGATATGTCCTGTATGTCTAGCATCAGTGCGGAAATTTGCTTCACGTAGTCTCGAATGAAAGTACTTTGGCGAAGTTGTCTTAGCTTCCTCCTCGCAATGAACTCTGTGTACTTTGGCGAAGTTGTCTTAGCTTACTTTGGCGAAGTTAACTGAGTTTTCAATTCCTGCTTTAAGTCCTCCTATGTGTCCACTCAACACCGACCATGTTGGATCTCCTCCCAATGGGTTCACCACCAAAGTTTTGCATCCCTATTCAGATACATAGTTGTTATCGAAACTTTGGTATCTTCAGAATTGAGCCTTGTAGCTCGGAAGAATTGTTCTATGTCAAACAAGAAATTCTCGAGCTCTTTAGCATCCCTGGCACCCCATTCAAGTTTTATGGTGGCGCAATGCGGGTGTTGCTTACTCCAATATTAAGAGCCCTTGTGAGCAATGTCACCCTAAACATGAGTTCCGCTATGACTTCGTGCAGATGTTGCACGGAGTCTTTGGTATCTTCCGTCAGTCGATCGACCAGGGACTCAACCTTATCGATTTGAGATTCAGCTTCTTCTTGCGAGCTTTGTACCCAAGAAGCCTTCGTTGGCCTTGGTAGAGTTCCTCTGAACTCGCTTCAAGAACATCCAGACGGGTTTCTGCTATTGTGAGTCTCTCCTTGTTGCTTCTGTTCTTGGTTGGCGCTCCAGATTGCGCCTCCTCCACTCATGGAGAATAGCCAACTTCTTGCTTGTCTTGTTCGTTGTTGCGCTCCTTCTGAGCTGCTCCAACAGCATGAGAGTGAGTTTGCACTTACAGCCCACTTGCGCCTACTTGGGGCAATGGTCTGGCTTGCCCCATCTTGCTCGATTCGCCACGATGTTTCGCCATGGCGAGATTACGAAACTTCTTCGTTGTTTGCTTGAATTGCTTGCTCACTCTGATACTACAATGTCACGGACTTTTCTTAAATTGCTTAAGTCGTGAGGCACCCTTGCGGCAAAGTCATGGGCTTAGTTGGAGTTGCCTAAGTCGTGAAGCACCCTTGTGCCAACTTCTCGGACTTAGTTGGGATTGCTTAACTCATGAAGTGCCCTTGCGATATGCGTCCGCAAAGGGTTAGCCAATCAACCTTGCTCAGGTCTCGGAGGGCCTGTAAAAAGAGCAAGTTGATTAGTTCGAAAACGAGTGGCGGACAAGTCTTAGCGTCTCACGGAGTGGGCAGCTTTTCAAACAATTCAATAAACACTTTGAATGCAAGAGAGAAAACGAATAGTCGTAAGTCCACAAACGACTGCCCACTTGGTGTTGGGCATGATGGCAAATTCCCGTCAAGTTAACATGCGAACTTGTGTATACCAATTAATGCCCAATACTATCCCGAAGCCCCATCCACCCCTATGCCACCCGGGGGGTTTCAGGGGTCTGAGATGGTTGACATTTTGCGCGCGGCTGCGATCGGCAGAAAACAGAACGTGGCACGCGAAAACGGAGTCATTTTGGGGCAGTTTTGCCTAGCATGGTGAGCTGTCGCACTGCAGTGCTATGAACTATTCTTGCTTACATTTTTCAAGCAAAAACATACAAAACCAAGGCAAAATATATTGCCAAGCATCTATACAAGCATGCAAAAGCGACGAATAGTTCATTTAGCGAAGATGTTGCGGGTGTGCGACGAGCGTTCGTGACAAGCCGACCCTAGGTAGTAACCATTAGCTGAGTTAGAGAAAAGGAGAGAGGAGTTCAGCAGCCGTCGAAGTTCAAACTGATCTCCAAAGGCAGCTGCCCTTATTCCTTTTATCCAGCTTTCAACCAGCCTAGAGTTGAGACTAGTCTAGAGCAATAGAAAAAGAAGAGAAGAAGAGAAAAAGGCCTTCGGCAGCTTGCAACCAAAGGAGTTTGCAGCAGCAACTCCATCAACGGGTGACAACTTGACTTCTTGTACAGAGCAACAAGCCATATCGTCTTCTTCTTTGTCAACTCCAGTAGTTGCTATGGGAATCCCAGGAATCCCTGAAGCCCTGTTGCTCTTTGTCTAAACATCAGGAGGAGGTTCCAACAGTACGGGAGGAGGAGACTGAAACCAACGTCTTGCTGAGAGCACCAAGGTGCTGTCCAAAGATAACCTGCATTTTAACATATTTTCGTTCAAATCTTTTATTGCTCTTGTTTCCGTTGCTTAGCTCCTTGTAGTTGGCACTTTAATTTACGAGCAATATAGGTTGTTTTCCTTTCGGTTTTATGTTTGTGTCTAGCGATATTTTTCTCCTCTGCCAAAACTTTTCATTCGAGAGGTGATATCGGATCGACAAACCATTGTACTCGAAACCCATATGAATAAAGAGATAACCAGATAGTGAAATTTTAACAAATTGAGATCAACATTGATTAAACTAGTATCAACATGTTAAGAGAGTTGTGGCAGTTAACGATATTTTTCTCCTCTGCCAAAACTTTCCATCCGAGAGGTGATATTGGATCAACAAATCGTCGTACTTGAACCCCATACAAATAAAGAGAGAACTAGGAAGTGAAATTTTAACAAAATTGAGATCAACAGTGACTAAAGTAGCATCAATATGTTAAGAGAGTTGTGGTAGTACAAGTCATTTTTATTGAGGATGACATATGGGAGATTCAAAGAACTGGAATGAGGAAAACCAGGAAACGGAGAGTAATATAAGGAGAAAAATCATTATAGGTGAGAGGCTAATATTAGAGAATCAGCATATAATCTCTCTCTTTCTCTGGCTTAAACTAGAGGATGTTCTTATTGCACATATTAGAGAATCAGCATTATAATCTCTCTCTCTGGCTTAAACTAGAGGATGTTCTTATTGCACATACGATAACAAGCTGTAATTGATTTGACTATTAGAATCAGCTGCATTTCTGATGTGGAGATAGGTCGAGGGAAACATCATTAGTTAACACAGGGATCAAATTTCTTTTAGGGCATAGTTTAGTGAAACTCTTGCATGTTTCTCTGCTACTTTTCGTGTTACTTGGAAGGTAACACCTTTCTTTAGATATTTGGTGTTGAGTCAATGATAATTCTTTTCAAACTTCATTTGCCATGCTTTAACTGGTAAAGCCATCATCAGATATGAGAGAGCTTCGGGTGTTATCTTATTGTGACCTTCCAATTTGAGCAACTGGTCCTTCTGGACACTATAGTCATGTCCTGTGTTTCATGTTTTTTTCTCTATGTGACAGCTGCTACTATAGTTTTTGTGGCGAAAAAGGAAAACTTTGGTATTTGAGGAATGTAATACAAGAATATGGACCGGTTCCAGTTTTTATATTGGCTAAAACAATGACATTATTTCATAAGTAGAACAGAATCTTTTTTTCTGTCTTGTTGCTTATGGTCTCTTTTTGTTAAAAATTTTCGGAGTTCTATGGTACAGTGTTATCTATGATAGTAGTGCATACAGGATGTCAATTGCTTACAAACATAATATGGATATCCAAAAGATTATTTCCGAATCTTTTGTGCATTTAGTAATAATTCCTCATGAGTTCAATCATTCGTTCTTTGACTTCCAACATTTCTGGAGGCTTGACAGAATAAAAGAGAATTTATAAATCTTTTGTGCATTTATTAATAATTCCTCATGAATTCAATCTCTTTCTTTCTTTGAGTTTTAATTTTTTTGGAGGCTTAAAAGAATTTCTGGATTATTTTAAAAATCTTGAATTAACAATTTGTAGGAACAAAATGCTGAAGGTTTATTTGGGATGATGGACAAGACAAATTATCTGTTTCAAATGGGTTTCACTGAAGAAGAAGTATCAACTGCTATTGATAATTTTGGTAAGTTGAAATTTTAAATGTACTTGTAAGGGTTCATCTTTTTCTTATGAACCAGCTGTTATTGTGAACCTGATTATACTAAATTTCTAATTTTTTTGTGGAAATGCAAGGACATGTCATGATGATTTTTTTTCATATAAAGCTGATATTTATTGTCATTGGATTCAGTCAAAATAATGCATGGCATTGGTCAACCTTTTTGGGTTTTGTCACCCCATTATACAGAATTAGCTGATACAATCTGCATGAGGGCTGGGATTGGACTGATAAAAATTGGGTAATTCAAGTTGGTCAATTTATGTATAAACTCCAGAAACATACCTTACAGATTCTTTTTCCTACTTTTATTTGTTTACCTCTGTTGTTGCTATTTCATAATGGTTTCTCAGCTTTCTCTAATTACACATGTTTGAGTGTTGGTGGTATTGCTTAGGATGCTGAATTGGTGGTACACGGGAGTTTCAAATGCATGTTTTTGATGCACTTGCTCAAACTTATGTGTTACTCAGAAAAAAAACTTTTAATTAACCTTGCCACACCTTATATAATGTTAAAAGAAGTGCTAAAGAGAACGAAGTGGTCTGTTGTAATTTGAAAAACAATATCAAGGTGTCGAAATTTGTAACATTTGGTACTCAAAGAGGTTATGACGCTTAACCAGCAGGTTCTGTACCTGTTTTCATTAAGGATGATAATTTTGTTGCAGATTTTGGTCACAGCAAATAGAACAAGTAAATAGTATCATCTGGTATAGAAACAGATGGGTCATTAGCCATAAAAAAGGGGTAAGATAAGTCAGGAAGAGCATTGCGGGTGATGTGAAACAATAGAAAGAGAAGATAAGAGGGCAAGAAAAGAAGTGATATATAAGAGAAAATAAAAGAGAATACTCTTTTTTTAAGAAAGGAGATAACTAATAGCTAGTAGCTCAAAGATATAAAAATTTGTTATGGTTTCAAAAACTGGACTACCTCAGAAATCTTTCTCCCCTCCCCTTTTGTGGATGTACATTAAATCTTTCAACCACCTAATTAATAAGTCATAATTTACAAAAATTCAAGCACAAATTACAATACATAATGAATACATGGTACTTTGTACTTGGCCGCTTAGAGTTTGAAGAGAAACACAAGATACGAACTATCTTCTTGGAATTTGATAAGTTTGAGACTTGGAAGTTTGTTATCATGGAGTTTGGGAGCATTGAATGCTCACCATAGACTGCACCATCCTTCGCAAGTGAGAAAGAACTCGTCCACCAGTGACATCATTGTTGCCATAACAAATTGATAAGTCTTGGGTATTGAATGTGGAGTGTGTTTAATCTCATAAGCATTATCATTGATCCTCTTGAGAGCTCGACAGATACTAATTTTCTTCTCCTTGAGTTTATTATAAGTTCTTGCTAAAATTTTTTTTTTTTAGTTTTTTCAAAAAGACCCAAATAAGATCTTCTTCAAAGGTCTTCGTAGGTTGATGCTTGTTAGCCTTTTTTTGTAAACTTTGTAACATAATCTTCATGATGACTCTCTATGCATAACTTTCATGAATCTTCATGGTTAGAGTATCTCTTATTGCATCAAATCCGTTTAATTGAGCAAGCATAATATTAAGAGGTGATCGTTGTCAATTGAGTGCATATGCTACTTGACTATGTGACAAAAGTATACAATTGTAAAAATACTATCCATCTTGCATGTCACCTATTGAGATTTGCTTGAGAATTTGTGTTTAAGAGCTTTATGATCAAAATTTAGGATGAATTCTCTTTGAATTAAATAAGGTTTTCAATGCCGTAATAATTGAACAATAGCATAGGATTTTAATATCATAAGTTTGATAGTTCTTTCTTGTATTGTATAGTTTTTCACTAAAGAATGCAATTGAATATCCTTGGCTAAGTACTCCACCAATACCTACGTGAGAGGCATCACAAACAATATCAAATACAACAATAACAAAGTTGTAAGTCCCAACTATGTAGGGTTGGCTATATGGATCTGTTGTCACAATCAACATCAAATATTTTAGAAAAATCCAGTAATGTAATAATGGGAGTAGTGGATAATTTTACCTTTTAATAGTTCAAAACTGTTGTTTATCTCAGGATTATACAATAAGAGGGGTTATAATAGTGCTGAAATTATGAATAAATCGATAATAAAAGGATGTCAACCTGTGAACTTTGAATATCTTGTAAGGAAGTTGGTATTGGCAAGTCTGGATAGCATTAGTCTTCTCTCGAAATCCACTTGGATGCCTACAAGGATTTAGATTAACTGTAGAAAAACTAGGTTAGACTTTAGAGAACATGATGGAGCATTTTTTAAGATTTACATATAACTTTTTTGTCTTCGATGTTGATAGGATAGCTCTCAAATGTTTGATATGATTATATTTGTTGCGACTATAAATAAGAATATCTTTAAAATAGACAACAACAAACTTCCTAATATAAGGATGAAGAATATGATTCATTACTCGCATGAGGGTACTTGGAGCAATTGAAAGTCCAAATGATATAATTAGCTATTCATATAAACCTTCTCAAGTCTTAAAAGTAGTTTTTCATTCATCTACTAGTTTAATATGGATTCAGTGACGGTCACTTTGAAGATCAATTTTAGAGAAAATTTGAGCACTAGCAAGCATATCAAACATATCCACCACATGTGGAATAGGAAATATGTGCTTGATGGTGATCCGACAAGTCAATCTTGATATTATCATTTGCATGAAGAAATCTCTCCATGAATGAGCCTCCAATAGCTTCTCTAGATACAAAGGGATTTATGTTATCAAATCCAACACTTGCATAACCATGGCTAGAGCCTCTAGAGGCATGAATTTCTTGATGCTCGAGGCACATGATAAGCTCTTCAACTTGTCTTCGTAGTGCTTCAGAAGTTGCTTCGAAAAATAAAATACGTCACAAATCTTCCTCTCCTCCCCTTTTATAGATGACTTGTACATTAATTCCCTCAACCACCTGATTAATAAGTCATAATATACTAAAATCCAAGCACAAATTAAAATACATAATGAATTCACAGTGCTTTGTACTTCGTGGCTTAGAGTTTAAAGAAACAACACAAGATACAAACCATCTTCTTGGAAGTTGATAGGTTTGAGGCTTGGGAGTTTATCTTGGAGTTTAGAAGCATTCAATGCTCACCATGCACTTGTATCAGTAGGAGGGAGGGAGAGGGCTTACTGACCTAGTTAAATGCAAGGACTTAAGTTTGCCTGAACCGGTATGAAATGTGCGACACGTATTGGTCCGAGCGACAACCAATATGCAGATCCACCCTGGCCTAGTCCATCATATGAAGGGGAAAGTGGGAAACTCTAAATCCCACTTCCACATCGCCTCCGCTCCTCATGTAGTCGTGATTGGTGCTGCGGCTTCTCATTGCGACTTCTTGCCTCTGTTTTCTCACTGCGATCGACGTCGCCACTTCTCATGCAAGCTGCTACCGGCGACCTCCGCTTGCCGTGATGTTGCTGTACACTGCCACACACGATCTTTGCCTCAGTCACTTCTCAAGTATGTATCTTCCCCTCCTCCCCTCCTCTTCCACATTCCTTCTCTGCCATTTCTTCTTTCCTCTTTCTTCCTCCTTCCTCCACCATCCCTTTCCTATTCTTCCTCTTTTTCTTCCTCTTCGAAACAGGTACCTATTGGTGTACCATGTGTTGGCATACCGGTATGTACTGGTCTGATAGATCTTAGAGATGGGTCCAGTACCCAAAACAGTGAATGCTGGTTAAATGAAATTTGTGACCTCTTGTTCAAAGTATTCAGGTGACTAGAGTGGCTGAATACCCTCTGTTTAATACATTGGTCGAGGAAATCAAACTCTGGTCCTGCATCCAATTCTAATGATAACTCTAGTTGGAGGACATCAAAGCTTAGACATATCTTTTTAGAGGAGATTGTTGTCTCTTTTCATTAAAATGTTGCTGCTAAAATACCAGAAAACAAGAATTTTAAGACCTAGGCTCAATAGGATTCAATTAAGTCGATTCTAAGTCCCAACGTAAACACAACAGGATCCTACACTAATCCGACTTGCATCAGTTTACTTCTGCCTACAGTCACATCTCTGGGTCATCTGATTTTTGGATTGTTAATCAATTGATGTAACTCCATGATGTGGGGATGAAAAGAACATACAAATGGTTTGATGTGTAATGGATAATTCGGCGTTTGGGTAGAAGATAAATTTACCAAGAAAGGGTCCATAAAAATTCATGTTTTTGTGTTCTTTTTCACTTATTGGTTAATGAATATGGTCTTCGATTTATCTTTATCATCAACATGATTGTCTTCCAGATAATTCTCCTTATCAGCATTTGAAAATAAATATGAAAGGAAAATGACTGTTGGTGGTATCTCTAAAATATCTGTAGCTATGCTCTTATGATTCCAACTCCATTGGATCCCAATTATGATAATTCAAATTTTCATTAGAAACAGCTCATGTCATCCAATGTTTCCCTTTTATATTCTTGTAGATAATTTCTGTTGTTGTTCTCCATACAGTTAATCTATCTAGTAACAAAGGAATCTTCCTCGATTGCATACTTGTTCATGGTGCCAATAGAAGTTAGCAAAAGTATGAGCAACAGATCTATTTAGTTGCTCGCTGGTTTTGGATTAAAGTGTATCTGGTCCAACGTTGATACCAATTGATGCGAAAAAGCACAGCAGAGGATGAAGAGGTCAGTGATCTAGATTTGGGCCTGCCATTGAAGTTTTTGCAAATACAGGGCTGACAAACTTTCGACACTAAAAAAGGTGACAGCAATGTTCGTCCAACTGATTCTGCATCCTTTGATCAAAAGATTGAAAGACGCTGCTGATTTTAATCTCGGTGAATAGAACCATATATATATATATATATATATATATATATATATATTTATTTATTTATTTATTTTTATATATATTCATTGTAATATATTGCATCATGATTTCCAAGGTTTGGAATCTCGTA